ATAAATTTAACAACTAAATTAGATTCAAATCGTCCATGGTACAACTCCTTGCCCAAACTGGCCCTTGAAGATTCGGGGTAGAATAGGTTTTCAGTACCCATGCTTGCCGTAAAAAGCTACTATGCTTGTCGTAAGAGGCGACTAATGGGATCGGGTGGTCAGGCTCGCTGATTTGGTTGATGCATGTCATCGATCCTAATTGCGTGGATCGATGCTCATGCTGCCAATCACTGGATTGTCTGGTCCAGACTCGATAAAGTCATAAATAACTCACCAATCGAATGTGTCAGTGACTATAAATATCTTGGAATTCACTTTACAAATATAAACTCTTTCAAAACTTCTATAAAAGCAAATTGCGAATCTGCCACCAAGGCCAGGTGCTTTGTATTACGTAAAAGTAGAACATTTAATATGTCCATAAAATGCCAATTAAATCTCTGCGATGCTATGGTAAAACCAATTCTATTATATGGTTGTGAAATATGGGGGTTTGAAAATTGTAAACAAATTGAATCTGTTCACCTTAACTTTTCAAGTAAATTGCTTCCCATTAAGAAAAGTAGACCTTTATACATGTTGTATGGAGAACTTGGAAGAGTACCTTTAATTAATTCTATCAAATGTCAATGGTATGTTTTGAGTGCGGGGTTAAACAACAACAACAACAACAACAACAACAACAACAACCTTTGCCAAACTTAACAGCACAATAGGTTCGAGTGATGAGCTTCTAAATTATCACAAGCTGATTAACAAGCAAGCGTGTCCGTCTATTGTTATTATTTCACGCTTCATCTGGTAAAGTATTTTAAAATACATCCAGATAACAGACGACTCCCGATGTGGTCATATGAATTCAAGAAAAGACTGGAAGCCACCGTTGGTCTTTATACTATGTTACAGTGTGCCTTATAGGGTCACATCATGCTAATATGTGGTGTGTAGACGTGTAGATGCATTCTGTATGCATTTAAGGAAATGTCCTGTTGACCAGAGCTTTCCTTCGCCAACCATTTACGCAAATGTTTCCGTCACTTGAAATGGTCGAGAAAAGAAAGCGAGATTTAATAAACCCTAATCTGTGACCCAAATGAGAGGTCACGGGTTCTCGCGAGACGCGGTGCTTTTCGTGATGAGATTCTCAGCGACCTGTCGGAAATGATGGCATGTTCAGCTTCTAACTGACAGTCATGACAAGCGGAGAGGCCAGCCGGTCGAAAATAGTCAGTACCAGTAATAGAAGTGGACCACTCCTGGCTTTCGACTGTAAAGCCAGAAACTGTGGCTTTAAGTAGCATATTCCCAACTCGCGACGCGTGCACGTTAGTTTGCAATGTTTTGGATCTTATAGGCCCAACGTGCAGGAGTTGCCAAATTATATGATCGAACAATTAATTGATTTATCACTCATCATTATTCTTCGATACATGTTATTTATGGGGGTTATCTGAGTGGATTGTTTCAGCGGAGAGGTGAAAGAGGTGAACATTGTCTTTCAAAATGGTTCGTGTTGAGAAACAATTTTCATGACCACTATCCGGAATTGAAACATTACGAGCACCTTTGTTAAGAGTTGCGTTCTGCACAAACAACGTTTAATTGAGATCAAAGGTGCTCTAATACTTTGTTGTAACTACTACGAAATCAGAATATATCATATTATACATCCTACGAATAAACATCTGCCCAGATTTGCACGTTTCGTTTTATTATTCTGCAATCCATTTTCAGGCCCGGTCTGACTTTTAGGTAATCCCTTGTAATCGTAACTTCTAGTGGAGTGAGTGAGTGAGTTGGGTTTAACGCCGCTTTTAACAGTATTCCAGTTGTATCACGGCGTGTCAGCTTAATGTGGGAGGAAAGCCCGAAGTGATGCAGGTCTCAGACGTTTACTACTTCGGTGAAACCCACGAGCGCGGGTATGGTGCTGACAAACCTAGAAACATAATCGGGGCGAACCGGGATTCGAACCCACAAGCATAGGTTTCTTGCGTGCCGAAGGGACGCAACTCTGCACAGCGAATCGAGGCGCCTTAGACGACTGGGCCACCCGTGCCCCCACTACTAGTGGAGATCTTCCCGTGAAGATCCGGGGAAGAATAGGTTCAGCAACCCACGCCGTAAAAGGCGACTTTGCTTGTCGTTAGAGGCTACTAACGAGATCGGGTGGTCAGGCTCTCTGACTTGGTTGAAGCATGTCACTGATCCCAATTGCGTGGATTGATGCTCATGATATCAATCACCGGATGGTCTGGTCCAGACTCGATTATTTACAGACCGCCGTCATACAACTGGAATAGTGCGGCGTAAAACAACAAACAAACAAACCAATCTAGTGGAGATCGCTATAATGAATTAGCATCACAATGCCTTAAAGGCCCCTTGTGGCATCACAATCCAATGACATCACTAATGTATCTGCCAAAGAACCTTCTTAGCAGCACTTATAACTGTTCACAAACTGAAGAAGGTGGAAGAAGGATGTTGGTTGATTGAAGCCTCTGAGTTTTCAACTTGTATGGGCACGTGTTCATATATTTGATACAAAAGAGACTCGGGTGTTATTTTCTATATATCAAAAGCTCTTACATAAGTCCTACGATTGTGAAGATGGGCGTGGTTCACACAATCAAGAATATCATCGATAGAGTACGTCGTTCCGGAAGTGAAGTTAAGCAACGTCGGTCTCGGAGAGTAGATGGATGGGTAACCCCTTAGTAGCTTGACTCCTGAGAGTTTCTAGGGCTTCGGTCCTGCCCCACACTGATGCACGTGTAACACATGTGGTGTCTCCTTAGGCAAGTGACTTTGTTCGAAATGTGCCTCTGTTCATCTAGCAGTGAGTGGGTACCCGGTAGGTAGCGCTATGAGCATCCACTTGATGAATGGAACCTGGCGCATTATAAATTATTATTATTATCATCATCATCATCATCATCATCATTATCATTATTATTATTATTATTATTATTATTATTATTATTATTTATTTTATTATTATTATTATTAATAATTAATTAATTAAAAAAATATTATTATTATTAATATTATCATTATTATTATCATCATCATCATCATCATTATTATTATTATTATTATTATTATTAATATTATTATTAAGTGTGATGCTTTACCTATGCAGCTGTTGTGGTACACAACGAACACTAGACGTGTGAACTTGCTGAGCTGAATAAAAAACACACACTTTACCAAGCGAGTTACATAATAGATAAATCGTTCAGCTCTAATCCGTTTACACAACTGGATTGAATCGATTGTTTTTCCCTGCATATTATTTTATCTCATCCAATACTCCAACGTATACATCCTTTTGTGTGTACACGACTTAAAGTTTCAGATGGATTTCGTTATCACAGATAAATGATCCTACCCATTAATGTTGAATACATTTGATTTGTAGCCTTAATGCTCGCCAAGCTTTATATGTAGATAGATAAATAGTGATTGCAATAGCGGAATGGTTCCGGCTTCAACTCCGATGGGCCCCGAGGTAGAATCGTCTCGGAAACATAACGGCTCTGTCTATTAGTTCCTCCACACACAATTACTGCAGAAAGAATGGCAGGAAATTATCCCTGCGTTTCCACGCGGCTGATAGATGTACATGCATAGAGGATCGCCCGCACTGTCCACATGGTACGTGTATCACTCCGCCAAACGCTGCCTCATCACGCCATCTGCCGGACCATGAATATGCATACGCGAAAATTAACGACTATATTTATGCTTTATGTGTCGTTAAATCAGCAAACGACTGATCACAGAACGTAGAATGATAGTGAGGTTACGCTCCTGACGGCTTAGTTGCATGGATGGACACAATTTAAGCAGCGATGGACGAAACGGCGGAGAAGGTATTTGTATTCTCAGCACCGCCGTGCCATCAGATAGCCACTGCATACGTGGTAGTTAAGCCCTAATAGGCTGACAGCATCCAGGCGAGGTAGCTTTGTGTCAGCATCCAAATAACATGTTACACAATCAAACAGAAAAAGCCATCTAGATTAATGCTTCAACTGTCATCACTCGGTGCACTAAACGTACTGTTCAGCGAGAATTGAGAAGATTAAATCTTCCGTCTAGCTGGTCCCCGACTCTCGTTGCGCTCTGATATATATTCATGATATGTCGAGAAGGAGCCAAGCTTTGCACACAGACTGGAGTCCATTTAATCTCGTGCGTGGTCCATTTTGCGCTGCTACCCATGTTAAAGATATGCAGAGACGGAGCCAAGTGCTTAGTTTCTTAAACTAGAAAGTCAATCAAGCTACCCATCTCATTTGCGCTCTGATATATATTCATGATATGTCGAGAAGGAGCCAAACTTTGCACACAGACTGGAATCCATTTTATCTGGTGCGTGGTCTTTTATGGACTCCTATTTATGTTAATGATATGCAGAGAAGGAGCTAAGTGCTTAGCTTCTTAAACTAGAAAGTCAATCAAGCTACCCACCTCATTTGCGCTCTGATATATATTCATGATATGTAGAGGAGGAGATTTGCACACAGACTGGGGTCATGCCTACTTATCTGGTGCGTGGTCCTTTTTGCACTGCTACTCATGTTAATGATATGCAGAGACGGAGCCAAGTGCTTAGTTTCTTAAACTAGAAAGTCAGTCAAGCTCATCTCATTTTGGTGCGAACATCTTGTTCTACGAATCATATTGATGATGCATGCAGACAGGGGCGAGCTTCCACGGGAACGGATTTCCAGTCTATCGTCTCATCTCGAGCAATATTTACATTTGCATATTGTTAAATTAACTTTCCATCAAAACGATTTCGTGTCATCTGTTTATTTTGAAAGTTTGTGTGGAGTAGGGCAGTGTTTGCTGAATGTCGTTTACAAGCGACATGCCTATGGACCCTAACAATCATGACTACCGTTAAAGGTCACTTCACCCTGAGACCTCTGGATGTTTGACCCCAAGACCTCTGTTCAGTCTGGAGCCTCTATAAAAACAAGACCACATACAGCAAAATTATTTATTTAGTATTTACAAATTTATTTCTCTCAAATGAAACAATGATCTCATAAATGAATATTATTCTAACTGAATGCGATGAAAATGGAAAGCTTACGTTGACCTGTTATTGATGTAGTTGATAATCAGTCATGGATAACAGTAAAATATTGCATAATGACGGTATCCCCACTCAGCCACACGTCTGGCAAAAAAGTAGGTCAAATCACAATCATACATACCGAGTTACCTGCCCTTACGTATAATTTGCCACTGAGAAGCGGTCGCGTAGTGTAAGGGGAGGTAACCCATCTACATCCTACAAAACCTCCACTTGTGGGCGTCTATAACCCATGTTGCTAGCTACACTTGCAACAGAAGGTAACATCACAGTCGAGGAAAATACGGGGTAAAATATATGGGTTCCTTTGAAATAAATTCGCAATATGCGAATAACAAAATGAAAGAAACAACACGCCAGGCAACAACCGACCTTACATCTACTGGGAATAGTCTCAAAAAAACCAAACACAGATGCTCACTGACCAAAGGTTAGTGACAATGGGGAGGATACCAATGTAAAATGGTATCAACGTTTAAAGGCTACAAAGCTTAGAATGTTTAGCTGACAGCGAAGATGTTAGATGCCCCAAACGATGGTTCTTCATATATATCCATGATCAGGGCTGGGCTGTCTCGTTAACCAGCCCTCACAATGGATTTTTTTCTCTCTTTGACCACGATCAGAGCCAGATGGTCTCGGTGTCCAGCTCTGAGCTTGGTTCATTATCCATGGTCAGGGCTGGGCTGTTTTAGTAATCAGCCCTCACAATGGTTCTTCTCTCTTTGACCATGATCAGAGCTGGATTGTCTCGTTGCCCAGCTCTGAGCTTGGTTCATTATCCATGGTCAGGGCTAGGCTGTCTCGTTCGCTAGCCCTGAGCATGGACCTTCCGTTCTGGTTAACAACGGCCAGGGAGAAATTACCCGTAACAACTGCTACAACTGTAGGTCGACCCTTCATCATCCATGACCAGGTATAGGCTTTTATGTTTCCCGGCCCCAACCACGTATAACCTTTAGTCATATTGTTCCAATGTAGCGACATACTCCCCAAACACCTCCACCGTGAGGCTACATGTCATGAAATGTCGCTATAGTTATATACTGAGAAATGTATTATTATATATGTACATGTTGATGAGTATTCAATTGATCGTTGATGACACATCACCGAGAGGAACGCTAATCCCCCGTCGATTACAAGATTGAATCGTTGAGCATTGCTGTAGTGATATCGTTGAGATGTACGCAGGTAGATTGACTATTCAGTTTGGTGAAAGGTGGTTTTTGCTTGACGCGACCCGTATTTTTGACTTAAAACAGTTTGTTCACAAAACCATGAACATCAGATTACCCGCCTACTGGCCCTGGCAATGCCGGCAGAAATACAGCTGGAATATACACTTGGTAAAATCGATAATTATAAACAGTCTTACAAGAACAGTCTTATTAAAAAAGGGAGATAACTCTGTAGTCACAAGCAACACAACTTGGTGGAACTACAGAATAGGAAGACAAACATGTAGACCAGAACGAGGCTGACGCAGATCGAGAACGAGGCTGACGCAGATCGGGAACGATGAATGATGCTTTCTTGGTCTCCATGCGCCGGTATGCAACTGATAGAACAGCTGTAGCATTCGTTGTTGCTTTGAGGGAGGAATTGAGTGATATAAAGCTAACTGTAGATAGAGGCATGGAACACACAATAGCCCAGTACATGTAATCTATCTGATTCACGATGCACAACTGCGGATATGTATACAATATATGCACATTTAGTCCAGTAGTAAATCTGACAAATATAGCACATTTAGAAATGTGTCGAGAAACAGGCACTGGTTAAAGAATAGTTCTCTTCCATAAAGTGTAACTGTCGAATGAAGAGACATATTTCTTGACTTTCTAACGTGCATGATAAATAGGATTTACTAACAGGAACAGTGGGTATAACTCGAGGGGACATCCTCTGGATAACAAGACATCAGAATGACATATATGACCAATTGAAAGGCGGCTATCTGTACAGGGAGGTCTATGTTAAGATTCAGATATTCGTCTGGACATTACAGTGAATAATCTGAGGTATTTATACATAATTTACACTTTGTTGAAGCAGTCGTAGAGGAGCGTTTCTAGCACGTGCGGCACGTGCAGCACAAAAGCAGTCTGAATGAACACCAGCTTGTATGTACAAACAAATAACTTGGAATATATAGCATATACATGAAACGGAAGGCGAGTAGAAGGACTTATGTGTCTGCTTGTCCGTCGGTCTGGAGGCTTGTGCGTCCGTCCATTAGAGGTTGGGGCTAAAGTGCAATGGAAACGACAGTGAAGACAGATGGATCTCAAGCAAGTCACAATAGAATTATACCTACAACCTCTCAAGGCAAAATTGAAATACACGTAAATTCTCAAAATGATAGTGAAGATACTCTCCAGGGTCTGTCATGTGATAAATCTTATATGTACTGGAATTATAAAAGAATATCTGTAGATTTGTAGTCAATAAATATTATACATAATGTACAGTGGTTGCACACTACCCGCAAATATTTCTCTGTGTTGGAGATTACGCACACAAAAAATCAGCAAAATAAATCTTGTTCGTCAGGACACAGGATAATTCTCTATCTGCAAGATCCTGTTTCAGATATCCGAAAGCTTTTCCTTCAGACATATATAGTGTCAGTCTGTTCTCGCACCTGCTCCCCAATCACACAGATCTCCTGATTAACACACAACAGCTGAGGTGGCAGCAGAGATTGACGCAGTATCGAAAGACAGATCCGTCCGGTGACTATTGCAACACTCACAGGAAGAGGAATCAGCTGACCACGCCCAGGTAACCGAGGCAACACAGATCTGGGTGCCTAGTACATGGTCAAGACACTCGCCCCAGAAACCAGTGCATGGCCCAGACAGGTACCTCACAAACTAGTGCATGGGCCAAACAGGTACCTCACAAGCCAGTGCATTGTCCAGTCAGGCGCCTGATAAGCTAGTACATGCCTAGGACAGGCGCCTCACAAGCCAGTGCATGGCCAAAACAGCCCGTTTACTGACCACACAGACGCCCCACGACCAGTACACGGTCAAGGAGGCCCCACACCAGCCTCTGAATGACCACGACAGGCGCCCACAAGTCATTCCAGCGGATAATTTGAGCCAAAAACATTATAAACAACTTTCATACCGGTGAATGTTTTTGTAATTGTGCTAACTTCCTTTCAAGTCTTGCCTTCTCTTTCAAGGCTTGCTCTAAGCGTTTGTTGAGTTCTATCTCTGATGTCTTCCACATCACCAGCAGTTCCTCCTTAGATATCTTCTCTATACAGAAAATCCCGGGCAGGGAGTCGTCCGCAGAACACAGATGATCCTGGTATGACTGGGTTTTGTGGAGTAAGGATCGAACCATGTTGTTAGTCTTAGGTAAGAGGGACTTACTGTACATGGAAGACATATAATTATGACTGTCATCAGTCAACGCTTTGAACAGTTTGCTTTGATTTTCTAGTCGGTTGTTTGCAAAGTTATCAGTGGAGGGAGAGTCTTCGTCACCTGACACCAGGTGTCCGTTAGGAAGCGAGTCAAGCCGCACGCAGTTCGGTAATAATGGCGGACTCCTCTGCGCGCAGGCGGCGTAGGTCTGCGTGTTATTGTTATTGGGAGGTTCGTTCGGATCACATAAAGAGTCATCACAGAAAGCTCCGTCCAATGAAGGGATCGACGAGTTCGTGTCATCCGTTCCTTTATAATAGGAATCTGAACATCCGGGTTCCGACCGGTCCCTACTGGCCTCGGACAACAAACACTCCTGGGAGTGGCTCATGTCCTCCTCCTCCTCTTCCTCCTCCTCCTCTTCCTCGTGGTTGCCCGCGGACGACGGGATGGGCGGAGTAGGTCGGTCCTCGGCTTTGGGCGGCTGCCGCTCGATATTAATACTGAGGTCCTTCAGGGGGATCTCGATGATTTCTGAATCGGCGTTGCCTGAATCATCCATCAAATTGTTGTCTTTCATCTCCTGCATCCTGTCAACATCAATGTTATAGTATGTACACATCCCGTCAACAACATATTACCCTGTAAATACCCCGTTAATATCAATCGCTTCAATACATATAAATACCCTGTTACCGAACATTGTGATATATAATTGTAAAGAACTAGTTAAAAAACTATGCGATACCATGACATTGTAAAATTGCCGATAAAGAACAATTTTATATCACGGAAACATCCTATTACAGAATCAATTGGTATATCGTACATAGGTACAACCCGTTACCAAGATTGATATTATTTAAAACTATCTAGATTTATATTATTTACAAATATTCCAATAATAAATATGCCATGTCATGTAAAGATCCTATTAATATTATTATTATTATATTATTATGAATAATCAACCTGTATACATTATAACCCGAAATACAAAGTATTTTTTTTAACAAACTTGGCCAAATGATTACATACTGACATCTAGTTTGAGAAGGTAACTGACAACGTCTTGTCGTAACATAAATTCTTAATAATATTTTAGCTTACATTTGAATCCAAGAAGTGAAGTGAAGTCAGGCTTGTTAATATGATATGCCGGAAACACATTAACTGTCATCACAGTTTATGGAGTTTCTGCTATATCCCAGTATGTTAATACTCCCAGCACAGATCCATACACGCCAGCTTACTGTGACACGAGTGTTGTCCTTACGTTTTGGGAGGCAAATAAACAACTATCTATCAGAATAAAAGCGTGTAAGCGACGACGCGTGGTGGAATGAACAAGCTTAAGTCTGAATTGCTTTTAGAATGGATCACATTTGTTACACTGGTAGGAATGACACGTAGTATAAGCAGGTTATTGATCATCTCCCAGGAAAGATGCGGTAAGCTGCAGTTTGCTGGTTGCAGTTGCAGCAGCATCCGGCGAGAGGATGTCTCGGCTCCCTAAGCTGTTCCAACATTCACCAGCCTCATTCAATATTTATTACATTACATTTTTTTTATCACATTTGCTTAGCATCCTTTGCAGGTATTGCAATATGGGCACGCGTATAAATATCCCTTGCCGTGACGATCATTATGTAATAGTTTGACAATTTCAAGCTGAAGGCAAATTTATCATTTTTTTTCGATTACAAACTTTAAAGATTGGATATCTGAAGAAGTGTTTTTCACTGTCATAGCTAACTATGTGAGGTGAGGTGAGGTGAAATGGGGTTTAACGTTCATACTCAAGTTATATCACGGCGTGCCAGCTTAATGTGGGAGGAAAGCCCGAAGTGGTGCAGGTCTCAGACGTTTACCACTTCGGTGAAACCCACGAGCACGGGTGGGTGCTGACAAACCTAGAAACATAATCGGGGCGAACCGGGATTCGAACCCACAACCAAAGGTTTCTGGCGTGCCCAAGGGACGCAGCTCTGCACAGCGAATCGCGTCCAAGATTATTGCACTTATATAGCGACGTGCATGTACGTGTGTGTGTTTGTGTGGCTGCTTGTACTAGTCCGGACTGATGCCGATTTATAGTGCTAGCTCACTGAGATACCATGCCGCAGTTTAACAGGAAAACCCCACTCAGACACAGTATACTGACTCCGAGCCGACCAGTCCTTGTTTAAGTCCCTTAATGCCGAGCGCCAGACAGGGTAACAACAAGTACCATCTTTTAACGTCTTTTGGTATGACGCGGCCGGGGATCGAACCCCGGACCTTCCGCTCTCAAGGCGGACGCTCTACCACTAGACCACGGAGGCGGTCGCTAACTTTGTGACTGTACAGAGCATGAGTGAGTGACTTACAATTTGATGTCGTAATGTTATCTACATTATTAGAAAGCGTCTTGATGAATGTGTAAAGGTAGTGATGAAATGCGTGGAGATGAAGTAAAACATGTGAAGACGGCGTGTGCGTGTGTATATATGTGCGTGTGGCAATGGAGGTAATTTTCTGTGGTGAGTGAGTTGGGTTTAACGCCGCTTTGAACAGTACTCAAGTTATATCACGGCGTGCCAGCTTAATGTGGGAGGAAAGCCCGAAGTGATGCAGGTTTTAGACGTTTACCACTTCGGTGAAACCCACGAGCACGGGTATGGTGCTGACAAACCTAGAAACATAATCGGATTCGAACCCACAACCATAGGTTTCTGGCGTGCCCAAGGGACGCAACTCTGCACAGCGAATCGCGGCACCTTAGACGACAGGGCCCCCGTGACCCCCGAAGAAAGCCCGAAGTGATGCAGGTCTCAGACGTTTACCACTTCGGTGAAACCCATGGGTATGGTGCTGACAAACCTAGAAACATAATCGGGGCAAAATGGGATTCGAACCCACAATCATAGGTTCCTGGCGTGTCCAAGGGACGCAACTCTGCACAGCGAATTGCTGCGCCTTAGATGACTGGGACACCAGTGCCTCCTTTTCAGGTGATGAAGATATAGAGGTGGGGTGATGGAGGTTAGATGAGTTGTGATGAAAGTAAAGATGTGGGGTGAAGAAAGTATATGTGTGTGTCGTGGTGAAGATGGAGGTTTGTGATGATAATCCTGTGATGAAAGTAGAGGTGTGGTGGTACAAATATAGATGCGTGGTGTGTATGCGCATAGACACAACTGGAACTACGTCACAGACCTTTCAACTCACTGAACACTGTCCCTGACAATTTAGATAGTAATTTCTGTATAGAATCGCAATCACAAAAGTAATGTGATGGTGTTTTAGAAGATGCTCACAAATACATGTTGAAAAGTCATAAACTGCTTCTGGTTGTGTCTAAAAGCCAACTGGCACACATACACACGCACGCACGCACGCACGCACGTACGCACGTGCACGCACGCACGCGCGTCCTGATGGGAAGGAACTAGTCTACTTCAGTATCCTTAGCAAGTGAAAACGACAGGGAAAGCCAAGATCGGATGGACGAAGCTTCTCCTAATGCCATACCTGGTCCGTTCTCCGCTGACAGTGTCAAAACAGGAAAACACACCTTTATGATGGTATGTCCATGTGACGAGATACATCTCATTTGTATGATATGTCTCATTTTTATGCAATGTCTCACTTGTGTGATACATCTCACTTGAATTATACATTTCACTTACATAATATGTCTTTCTTATATGCTATATTTCACTTGTATGCTATAACTCACTTGTATGCTATATCCCACTTGTATGCTTTATCTCACTTGTATGCTTTATCTCACTTGTATGATATGTCTCACTTGTATGCTACTTCTCACTTGTATGAGACATCTCATTTATATGCTATATCTGACTTGTATGATATACCTCACTGATATGCTATGTCTCACTGGTATGATGTGTTTCACTGGGATGAGAAATCACACTTGTATGATACTTCTCACTTGTATAACACATCTCACTTGTATGCTATATCTCACGTGTATGAGACATCTCACTTGTATGATAGGTCTCCCTTTTATGCAATGTCTCAGTTGTATGATAGGTCTCCCTTTTATGCTATGTCCTGTTGTATGATACATTTAACTTGTAAGATACATCTCATTTGTATGAGACATCTCACTTGTATGATAGGTCTCACATACTTTTAACTTGTAAGATACAAGTCAATTGTCGGATTTCGCACTCGGGTGACTTCATGTAAAAGCATGTATGATGTGACTTTGTCACAGAATGATAAATCTATATATCGTGACTTTGACACATAGTACCATTGTCGGTACGATGTCCCTGACGACATCGACGTCTGACACAGTTCACAGTTCTGGGAGCGGCTTTCCGTTGACACTTACCATTTAGCTTTGGCAACGATGTCGTAAAAGTTCCGATTTATCCGCTTCGTTTTTGCCATGTCAGCAAGTTTGTTTTTCTGCAAAAAAGATAACCGTTATTACAGATCTCCTTCCCATGTAAACACATTATTACAGATCTCCTTCCCACCTTCCCACGTAAACACATTATTACAGATCTCCTTCCCATGTAAACACATTATCACAGATCTCCTTCCCATGTAAACACATTATCACAGATCTCCTTCCCATGAAAACACATTATCACAGATCTTCTTCCCATGTAAACACATTATTACACATCTTCCCACCTTCCCACGTAAACACATTATTACAGATCTCCTTCCACCCATGTAAACACATTATTACAGATCTCCTTCCACCCATGTAAACACATTATTACACATCTCCTTCCCATGTAAACACATTATCACAGATCTCCTTCCCATGTAAACAAATTATCACAGATCTTCTTCCCATGTAAACACATTATTACACATCTTCCCACCTTCCCATGTAAACACATTATTACAGATCTCCTTCCACCCATGTAAACACATTATTACACATCTCCTTCCACCCATGTAAACACATTCATCATATATTCACATTTTCCCGGTACATACAAAACCACATGCAGTCATTCTGAACCTTCTTATACAAAATCAATAAATGGAACCTTATACACACAGAAACTCGTTTTATTTGTCAAAAACATGATGAACATATACAAGTCGCAAAATAACAGGAGTGAAAAAATATAGTTTCATTGTGTTTTACGCGCCCGGGGAGGCAAGAACAACTTGACCAACATCTGTCAAGTACTACCCCTCCCTTCATCAAGCTGACATATCTCCATCCCCCTTCCTGAAAAAAGGGGACTCGTCCTCTCGGCGTCATATGTTTCGATTTCCTTAGCCTCGAACGCTTCCGTGCCTATGATTGAACACTGTATATTTTCGTCTTCTCTTATTAAAAAACACCTTCTCTGGCACTGTCCCCATACGTGTTGTTTTCAGCTGTCTTTTAAACCAGTATGCACACCTCGGCGCAGACCTTCTCGCAAAGCAGCAAAAAGGACATACATTTTTTACAGCCACTTCCGACTAAAAACGGTTTTACGTTTTGCAAAACATTATTTTTTGAAAAAGTTATGCGAATACACACAAACATTTAAAGAATCAAATATTTATTTCGGAATTCTTGATGTGAATGTACATACATGTCCGCAGCTGTGGTCTCAAATGGGCTACACATATTTTCACTAGGAACAGTTTGTGTGAACACTTCATGGAAATACACACACACATTTGAGAAATACAGCTGCATAGGAAATACAGCTGCGTGAGAGATACACACGATACAGCTGTATGAGAGATAAGGTGCATGAGAGATACACCATCTTGGGCAATGAGATGGAAATTTAGACAAGCATGTAGTAGACGTGTTTTTTTGTCTGTACGTCGAAAACGCCCAAAGAATTGAAATTGTCAAGGAAGGATCTAAAGTTCACAAAGACGAAAATCGTTTGATGATTTCAGTTACGCCTTTATTCTTTGGCGCAGGAAATAGGGTGTACTTTAATCACCATGAGCAGGCTGGCTGTCTCCATCTTAACAATTCATCAACCAACATAAAGTATTTGTACACAAAATGAATTATTCCCAAATAGACTTAACTCGCGGACGGTAATCAAGCCTTTGTTTCGTGTTAGCGGCGGCGAGGAAAAGCGCCCTCAGCAGTTTCACGTAACGGCAAAGTCACGCCGCATAGAGACCAATCGATGATAGGGTTATGTTTTCACGCATATTCAGAACTCATTCAACACACAGTCGGTACACATGCAATATACTTTCAACACACATTCAACATACATTCAACGCACATTCGGTACACATTCAACGCATAGTTGCCACAACAGAGTGAAACAAGTACAGATATTTCATTATATATCTTTGTTATAAGAGAAAAAGAGAAGAAAATAAACAACTTCAATAAACTTTTCAAATTAACGCATTCCTAGTAGATGGAATGAATGAGAACATTTACACAAAACCCATGGTTAGTAGATAATATTTAAGTCGGCAAACCATAATTCAAGTCGGTGTATCATGTTTCAAGTCGGGAGACCATGTTTCAAGTCAATATATCATGTTTCAAGTCGAAAGATCATATTTCAAGTCGACAGACCATGTTTCACGTAGGTATATCATGTTGTATATATTTGTAATAATAGGAAAAGAGAAGAAAAAAACTTCAATAAACATTACACATTTACGCATTTCCCAGTCGATGGAATGAATACGAGCTTTTCCACTAAACACATGGTCAGTAGATAATGTTCTAAGTCGGGAGACCATGTTTCAAGTCGTTAATCATGTTTCAAGTCGGCAGACCATGTTTTATGTCGGTATATCATGTTTCAAGTCGGCAGACCATGTTTCAAGTCGGTATATCATGTTTCAAGTCGACAAACCATGTTTCAAGTCGGTATATCATGTTTTTAAGTCGGCTGACCATGTTTCAAGTCGGTATATCATGTTTCAAGTCGGCAGACCATGTTTCAAGTCGGTATATCATGTTTCAAGTCGGCTGACCATGTTTCAAGTCGGTAATCATGTTTCAAGTCGGCAGACCATGTTTCAAGTCAGTAATCATGTTTCAAGTCGGCAGACCCTGTTTCAAGTCGGCATATCATCTTTCAAGTCGGTTGATCATGTTTCAAGTTGGTAGACAATGTTTCAAATCGGTAGATCAACGGCAATTAGTGTGGTTTCTTGTATCCTATTCATTACTTAAACTCATACTAAACTTCCAGGCCCGTTGTTCTTCACTTGACATATAGATTCCATTACTACCTATGTCCCCTTAATTGGGACAGAGTATATATATAACGCATATCACAAAGTCTGAGAGTCATAATGATGCGAGTTATTCGCTTGTCCAGTATTTCTGCATAAACAAACCAAATGGTTCTTCACTTTTTTCTATCTTGTGGTCATTTGAGCCAAATTTGAACCCATGAGATAGTAATGTAATCAAATTAAACTGAAATATCATCAAAATCTGTATGGGCAGACTTTAAATGGGTCTAGGCCATTGCAAGTGGACAGGAACGGTACATGTCTGGCTAGCCAGTGTTTCCACCTCTAAAACTCAACTAAGCAGAACAATCACATAGCGAATGTGTCTCAGATGAAAGCATCCTACACTACATTTACAATGCTTATGACAGTGTTACTCTGTGTGTGGTGTTTGCCGGCAAACTAGTCCTGTGTTCTGGCATGATAATGTTGTTGAAACTGTAATTTTGTCCACGATATTGGTAGACTGCCGTTCCCCCTGCAACATTGCTAAACATGTTGGACTTTGTAAAGTCTGCTCACACTCTGCAGTTCATGTCTTACCCGAATGGTACTTTTCTGAAAAAGCCTAACACTCTACAGTTCATGTCTTACCCGAATGGTGCTTTTCTGAAAAAGCCTCACACTCTACAGTTCATGTCTTACCCGAATGGTGCTTTTCTGAAAAAGCCTCACACTCTACTGTTCATGTCTTACCCGAATGGTACTTTTCTGAAAAAGCCTCACGCTCTACTACTCATGTCTTACCCGAATGGTACTTTTCTGAAAAAGCATCACCCTCTACTGTTCATGTCTTACCGGAATGGTACTTTTCTGAAAAAGCCTCACGCTCTACTACTCATGTCTTACCCGAATGGTACTTTTCTGAAAAAGCCTAACACTCATTTGTTCATGTCTTACCCGAATGGTACTTTTCTGAAAAAGCATCACCCTCTACTGTTCATGTCTTACCCGAATGGTACTTTTCTGAAAAAGCCTCACACTCTACTACTCATGTCTTACCCGAATGGTACTTTTCTGAAAAAGCCTCACCCTCTACTGTTCATGTCTTACCCGAATGGTACTTTTCTGAAAAAGCCTCACACTCTACAGTTCATGTCTTACCCGAATGGTGCTTTTCTGAAAAAGCCTCACACTCTACAGTTCATGTCTTACCCGAATGGTACTTTTCTGAAAAAGCATCACCCTCTACTGTTCATGTCTTACCCGAATGGTACTCTTCTGAAAAAGCCTCACACTCTACTACTCATGTCTTACCCGAATGGTACTTTTCTGAAAAAGCCTCACACTCTACTACTCATGTCTTACCCGAATGGTACTTTTCTGAAAAAGCCTAACACTCTTCTGTTCATGTCTTACCCGAATGGTACTTTTCTGAAAAAGCATCACCCTCTACTGTTCATGTCTTACCCGAATGGTACTTTTCTGAAAAAGCCTCACACTCTACTACTCATGTCTTACCCGAATGGTACTTTTCTGAAAAAGCATCACCCTCTACTGTTCATGTCTTACCCGAATGGTACTTTACTGAAAAAGCCTCACACTCTACAGTTCATGTCTTACCCGAATGGTACTTTTCTGCAAAAAGCCTCACACTCTACAGTTCATGTCTTACCCGAATGGTACTTTTCTGAAAAAGCATCACACTCTACTGTTCATGTCTTACCCGAATGGTACTTTTCTGAAAAAGCCTCACACTCTACAGTTCATGTCTTACCCGAATGGTGCTTTTCTGAAAAAGCCTCACACTCTACTGTTCATGTCTTACCCGAATGGTACTTTTCTGAAAAAGCCTCACGCTCTACTACTCATGTCTTACCCGAATGGTACTTTTCTGAAAAAGCCTCACACTCTACTGTTCATGTCTTACCCGAATGGTACTTTTCTGAAAAAGCCTCACACTCTGCAGTTCATGTCTTACCCGAATGGTACTTTTCTGAAAAAAGCCTCACACTCTACTACTCATGTCTTACCCGAATGGTACTTTTCTGAAAAAGCCTCACACTCTGCAGTTCATGTCTTACCCGAATGGTACTTTTCTGAAAAAGCCTCACACTCTACTACTCATGTCTTACCCGAATGGTACTTTTCTCAAAAAGCCTAACACTCTTCTGTTTATGTCTTACCCGAATGGTACTTTTCTGAAAAAGCCTCACACTCTGCAGTTCATGTCTTACCCGAATGGTACTTTTCTGAAAAAGTCTCACGCTCTACTGTTCATGTCTTACCCGAATGGTACTTTTCTGAAAAAGCCTCACACTCTACTGTTCATGTCTTACCCGAATGGTACTTTTCTGAAAAAGCCTCACACTCTGCAGTTCATGTCTTACCCGAATGGTACTTTTCTGAAAAAGCCTCACACTCAACTGTTCATGTCTTACCCGAATGGTACTTTTCTGAAAAAGCCGGGCAAACTCCCGATTCCGCACAATGCAGATCATCTCTTTGGCCGAGTCATGCGCAGAAATCAGTTCCGCACTCGTCACTGCTCTATGGAGACGCTGAAATAGAACAACAAATATGTTATAACATACCAGGAAGTTGTGGAATGACAGAGATGCTATGGAATAAGAGGAAGGTTCTGGGGTAAGAGAGAAGATATGGAGTAAGAGAGAGGGCATGGAATAAGAGAGAAGGTATGGAATAAGAGACGTTCTGGAGTAATAGAGAGGATATGGAGTAAGAGAGAGGGCATGGAATAAGAGAGAAGCTATGGAATAAGAGAGAGGCTATGGAATAAAAGAGATGATCTTGAATAAGAGATAGGTGTTGGAATAATAGAGGGGATATGGATAAGAGAGGGGATATGGAATAGGAGAGAGAATCTAAGACAGGAGAGAGTCTATTGAATAAGAGAGAGGCTATGGAATAAGAGAGAGGCTATGGAATAAGAGAGAGGCTATGAATAGGAGAGAGAATCTAAGATAGGAGAGAGGCTATTAAATAAGAGAGAGGCTATTGAATAAGAGAGAGGCTATGGAATAAGAGAGGGGATGTGGAATAAGAGAGAGCGTATGGAATAAGAGAGAGGCTATGGAATAGGAGAGAGAATTTTAGATAGGGCAAAGGCTATTGAATAAGAGAGAGGCTATGGAATAAGAGAGAGGCCATGGAATAAGAGAGAGGTTGTGGAATAAGAGAGAGGCTATGGAATAAGAGAGAGGCTATGGAATAAGAGAGAGGCTATGGAATAAGAGAGCAAAGTCACTTCACGACATGTTGGTAAATGTTTATGTAGTGTTGTACGGGACTCTGAAATAAACATTAGGTTATTGAAAAAGAAAGGTACTAGATTTACAAACAGGTTTTGATCAAGATGGAAGTTATAGAACAACAGAACGATTAGTTTTCCTCAATCGCCATTCGGATATTAAAGGTGACTGTCAGTGTTTTGAAGGTTTACAAAATTCAAAAGATGCATTCAGCCCAGCTAAACTATACGATACACGACGCTCTTCATCCCGTATTGATACGCATAGTTTACAACCGATTTCGGATTATTTTATCATTCAAGTTTCGATCTTAGACCTTGTACATTACCGTTAGTTTTATTATTCAAGTCGGTCATGTCTAGCATAGTATGCATGTCATACACTAGTTGCCATTCAAAGGCTTAAACGTTGTACACGAACAAATAGATTTATCATTAAGGTTTCTCAAATTCCAATCGATTTACACATTCTAATTAATAAATTGAAGGGCAAAAGAAAGTAAACCAAGTTTTTTTATATAATTGAAAATTGTAAGAACTGTAGTAAAATTTGATTATGTCTATTTAACCATCACTCATTCCTGCAACAATTTGTAAAAAGTGGATGGGTATTTTCATGTAAACATTAATTGGTTCAATGAAGACTGGGGTAAAAAAAACTGTATGCAAACACATGACCCCGACCATGACTGAGGTGTTGAAAATTTGAGCCGAATTTTTTTTTATTGATTTGCAAAGATAAAAAGTCCAAGAGACTCATCAGCAGTTGTGTATTATGCGAATTTTTAAATAGTTTTTAAAAGTTTTAAATCAAATTAAATTTTTAATTAAAAAATTATGTAGGAGTTTTCTTTGAGTGGTGACTAAGCGCCAGTACAGTTCATTGTTTGGAGACCGCCTCCGTGGTCTAGTGGTAGAGCGTCCGCCCGGAGAGCGGAAGGTCCAGGGTTCGATCCCCGGCCGCGTCATACCGAAAGACGTTAAAAGATGGTACTTGTTGTTACCCTGTCTGGCGCGCGGCATTAAGGGGCTAAAACAAGGACTGGTCGGCTCGGAGTCAGTATACTGTGTCTGAGGTGGGTATTCATGCTAAACTGCGGCATGGTATCTCAGTGAGCTAGCACTATAAATCGGCATCAGTCCGGACTAGTACAAGCAGCCACACAAACACACACACGTACATGCACGTCGCTATATAAGTGCAATAATCTTGGACGCGACGTTAAACCCAATTTCACCTCACGTCATTGTTTTGATATGAGATCGCCAACGTAAGATATTTTCAACTGAAATTATGACATATGATAAAATCAACTGAGAAGTATAGTTTCATTTGCCCTTCAGTTTAGTTTTATCATCAATCAAGTCAACCAAATTCTGATAGTTTTATCATCAATCAAGTCAACCAAATTCTGATAGTTTTATCATCAATCAAGTCAACCAAATTCTGATAGTTTTATCATCAATCAAGTCAACCAAATTCTGATAGTTTTATCATCAACCAAGTCAACCAAATTCTGATAGTTTTATCATCAATCAAGTCAACCAAATTCTGATAGTTTTATCATTCAAGTCAATTACATCTTATCCATTTTACGCAACTAGAAGTTGTATCATTCGCTTGATGGTAATGAGTTCAATCATAGTTGATATGAATAGGCTACCGAAATATTTCATTTCGGAATATATTTTCATTACAAAAATTGCTTTGCATGTAACTCATTATCAGCTGGTGATGGAGGGTGATTGTGAGTAAGATGCCCCCAGACCGAGTCCCGGATTAGACTGTCCCCAACAGGTGACGCCCGACAATACATACAACACAATGCATCACCACGACACATGCAGTGTGGCAGCGGGTTATTCATTACCATGGCAACCACTTACAACGTGCTAACGGTTCATACTTGCCAGGGCATTGTGTTGGTAAAACAACTCGTATTCCCTCAGTTAACCCCACGCTCCATCCCGACACCACCGCAACACCAGAACTCTATCCTCAGTCGAAACTCAAACCCATTCCCCTATTGAACTGACTCAACAGATCTCTCAGCCTTAACAAACTTACCCACAGATCAAACCACCTCCTCACCACCTACCCACAGATATCCATGCCTCCTCATCCCTTACCCCCAGATCTCTACACCTCCTCACTACCTACCCCCACACCTCCTCACTACCTACCCTGGATCTCCTCACTACCTACCCCCAGATCTCCACACATCGTTATCCCTTACCCCAACATTTCCACACCTCTTCACTTCCTACCCCCAGATCCCCTCACTACCTACCCCCACACCTCTTCACTTCCTACCCCCATATCTCCTTACTACCTACCCCCACACCTCCTCACTTCCTACCCCAAGATCTCCTCACTACCTACCCCCACACCTCCTCACTACCTACGCCCAGATCTCCTCACTACCTACCCCCACACCTCCTCACTACCTAACCCCACACCTCCTCACTACCTACCCCAGATCTCCTCACTACCTACCCCCACACCTCCTCACTACCTAACCCCACACCTCCTCACTACCTACCCCAGATCTCCTCACTACCTACCCACAGATCTCCACAACTCCTCATCCCTTACCCCAACATTTCCACACCTCCTCACTTCCTACCCCCAGATTTCCTCACTACCTACCCCCGGATCTCCACACCTCCTCACTTCCTACCCCCAGATCTCCTCAATACCTACCCCTTCCACAACTACATTATCATCGATGTAAACATCTTCACATCCTTCAAAGACAACCCAACTATCATCTGTATAAACATCTTAACATCCTTCCAAAACAACCCAACTATCATCTGTGTAAACATCTTAACATCCTTCCAAAACAACACAACTATCATTTGTGTAAACATCTGAACATTCTTCTAAGACCTCCCAAATATCACCTGTGTAAACATCTTAACATCCTTCAAAGACAACCCAAATATCACCTGTGTGAACATCTTAAAATCTTTCCAAGACAACCCAACTATAACCTGTGTGAACATCTTAACATCCTTCTAAGACAACCCAACTATCATCCGTGTAAACATCTTAACATCCTTCCAAAACAATCCTTCTATTTCTTTACGAACAACTTTTGTCCAAAACAAATCCACTATATCTGTAAACAACTTTCCAATCTTGCAAAACAACCTTCTTTCTTAACATCATACCACACTCGCAAAACAACAGTCTACTTTCTTTCTTAACCACACTTGCAAAACATCAGTCTACTTTCTTTCTTAACCACACTTGCAAAACAACAGTCTACTTTCTTTCTTAACCACACTCGCAAAAACAACAGTCTACTTTCTTTCTTAACCACACTCGCAAAACAACAGTCTACTTTCTTTCTTAACAACACTCGCAAAACAACAGTCTACTTTCTTTCTTAACCACACTTGCAAAACAACAGTCTACTTTCTTTCTTAACCACACTCGCAAAACAACAGTCTACTTTCTTTCTTAACCACACTCGCAAAACAACAGTCTACTTTCTTTTAACCATACTTACAAACCAACAGTCTACTTTCTTTCTAAACCACACTCGCAAAACAACAGTCTACTTTTTTTCTTAACCACACTTGCAAAACAACAGTCTACTTTCTTTCTTAACCACACTTGCAAAACAACAGTCTACTTCTTTCTTAACCACACTCGCAAACCAACAGTCTACTTTCTTTCTGAACCACACTCGCAAACCAACAGTCTATTTTCTTTCTTAACCACACTTGCAAAACAACAGTCTACTTTCTTTCTTAACCACACTTGCAAAACAATAGTCTACTTTCTTTCTTTACCACACTCGCAAACCAACAGTCTACTTTCTTTCTTAACCACACTTGCAAAACAACAGTCTACTTTCTTTCTTAACCACACTCGCAAACCAACAGTCTACTTTCTTTCTTAACCACACTTGCAAAACAACAGTCTACTTTCTTTCTTAACCACACTCGCAAAACAACAGTCTACTTTCTTTCTTAACCACACTCGCAAAACAACCATTCTACTGTAAATGTGAACACACTTTCATTTTTTGCAAAACAACCGTTTCAAACCAATTGGTTTTGCAAACGTGACATAAAGAACTCCTACTTTATTTGTAAACACCTAACATCGCTGCACAACAACATTGCTTCTAACAAGCTCCTTTGTCAGATGCCTTCTTGTACTGTATTTATAACACATTCTTCTTTTCATGTCTCAGTACAAGAGCCACTCTACCTACTTTTATCAAAATATCCTACCTCCCATATCTCGTTAAATACCCCCACTTTATTTCCCTGTAAAATATATCTAACACTTCATCCCCCATTACTTTGTTAATTTGACAGAAAGCCATTATCATGGCGTGGATTTCGAGAGGCAGGTTTGATTTGACTATAACGGTCCAATACAGCGCTTAATGCCGACCAGTCCCGAGTACAAATGAATAACCATTATCATTGTATATAAAATCAGCGTGGACATACTAAGGCGTACTCGGTATGCTCCTAAACTATAGGCACGTGCAATCAAATCATTGCATCTCTCATGGTATTAATTTGATTTGCGGTGCATGCTGGTTTTCCTCCGAGGGCACCGCTAAATGTACTCGCTTGCCGAGACTCCGCGGACGAGAAAGTTTCATTCAATCATAATTAAAACCAAGGACGTGCCCCCCCCCCCCCCCCCCCCCAGTATGCAAAAACTACAGTACAATACCGAGATAGATCGCTTCCCAGTATAAGCTGCTGAAATAACCTCAGTGACGGAATATATCTCCTTTCGTTGAAAATCGATGCTTGCATTTACACTGGCAATATTTTACATCCCGTAATACGAGTAATATAAAAATGGCAGTTAATCCGGTAGCCAGTAGCCATGCAAATGGGAGAGCTAGTAGCAATAATGCTCTTCAAGAAGTTTTTATTTTAAATCAATGAAGGGAGAGTACAAAAGAATTCAAGTCTTGTACTGTATATTGATTGGCTTGTTTTTCACTTTCCCGGCTAAACCATATGATTAGTGTCCACCCAAACATGAAAAACCGTCTGCATGTTCTTTGCCCGTCTGTAGGATCTCCCCCAACCCTCATCCATCTATTATAGGTCACCCAAACGTCTGCAGATTCTCCCTATCCCTTACCCATCTATTACAGGTCTCCCCACCGTCTGCAGGTTCTCTCCACCCCTTACCCCAACCCCGTCTATAGGTTCTCTCCACCCCTTACCCCAACCCCATCTATAGGTTCTCCCACCGTCTGCAGGTTCTCTCCACCCCTTACCCCAACCCCATCTATAGGTTCTCTCCACCCCTTACCCCAACCCCATCTATAGGTTCTCCCACCGTCTGCAGGTTCTCTCCATCCCTTACCCCAACCCCATCTACAGGTTCTCCCACCGTCTGCAGGTTCTCTCCATCCCTTACCCCAACCCCATCTACAGGTTCTCCCACCGTCTGCAGGTTCTCTCCATCCATTACCCCAACCCCATCTATAGGTTCTCCCACCGTCTGCAGGTTCTCTCCATCCCTTACCCCAACCCCATCTATAGGTTCTCCCACCGTCTGCAGGTTCTCTCCATCCCTTACCCCAACCCCATCTACAGGTTCTCCCACCGTCTGCAGGTTCTCTCCATCCATTACCCCAACCCCATCTATAGGTTCTCCCAACGTTTGCAGGTTCTCTCTCCAGTCGCGAGGAAGCGGACGTTGGGTTTCACCTGGACTTATAATATCACCAGTCAAGGTGAAGTGGGCGAAGGGTTTCACATGGACTAGTAATATCTCCAGTCACGAGGAAGCGGACGTTAGGTTTCACCTGGACTAGTAATGTCTCCATTCGCGAGGAAAAGGACGCAGGGTTTCATATGGACTAGTATTACTTTCTGTTATCCGGCAAACACTGAATATCAAACGAAAGTGTATACTTGGGCTTTCTGGGTGCCCACGCAAAGCGCAATAGGTTCCGCCATCACACAACAATGACCTGGGACTCAACACTGTGCAGTCTTTTGACGATGAGCTGTACACATAATATCATCCCCGCGGAAGGAACTCGCGTCTCAATGACACAAAGCACCTTTGTTTTAAACATGCATTACAGCAACACGAATGATGATTGCCAAGGCGGTGTCGTGTTGTCGCGCTGTGGTATTCATTAAATAAGCATGTTATAATCTCGAACCCCTTACCTCTCGCACTCGTGTAGCCTCGAAGCTCTGTTATCTCAAATGTATGTAATCCACGAATTAGTGAACCACATTATTCTGGCATTTCTCATACCAAACGGAAATAAAATTCCCCTCTCATGCGATTTAATCCTGCATCCGTGTACCTACGGTTTCTTGTCTCCCATGGACATGTAGTCTCGAACCCCATTCCTCTCGCATATCTCACATACCAATACCCTCGTACCCCTTTACTTTAGCGCCGCGTGTCCTCCAACTACCTGTCCTCCAAAAGTGTCTGACGTGAGGACAATACAGTAAAATTGTCTTCATCGGCTCATGTCAACTGATGAGGAGTGAGTTGGACTTTATGCCGCTTAAGCAACATTCCAGCAACATCACAGGGAATATCAGAAATGGCTCCCAACACCTTTCTCATGTAGGAATCGAATAGGGATTCGGTATGACGAACGAACGCTTTAACCATTAGGTTATCCAACTGCCCCCGGAGCCACATGGTGGGCAGTTGAGATTTTTATTATATATATTTTTATATATATATTTACTTCATAGTATCCTAGTGTTGTACAAGATCGAAACATCCCAAGTACTTACGAAACTTGAGGTGAGGTGAGGTGAACGTCGTGTCCAAGATTATTGCGCTTATATAGCGATGTACATGATGTGTGTGTGTGGGTGTGGGGGGTGGGGTGGGGTGGGGGGTGTGGGTGTGGGTGGGTGTGGGGTGTGTGTGGGTGTGTGGGTGGGTGTGTGTGTGTGTGGGGGGGGGGGGGGGGGGTGTGGGTGTGTGTGTGGGTGTGTACTGACTTCAAGCCGTCCAGTCCACCCCTTTAATGCCGAGCGCCAGACAGGGTAACAACAATTATCTTTTAACGTCTTTTGGTATGACGCGGCCGGGTATCGAAAACCGGACCTTCCGCTCTCCGGCGGAGGCTCTACCACTAGACCACGGAGGCGGTCCACACTTTTAAAGGTCAATGACGTCATAAAATGCTTACCTGACTGAAGAACAGCATATGGGAGCTCTTCCACTGACTGTCGCCGGGTGAGGCTCGGAAACGAGGCACTAGCCATTTGTACACAGCATGCTCCACGAAGCACACGATAATCCCAATGATAATCCCCACGCTCATCATCACGAAAAGTCCCGCGTGATGTTGCACCTCCAGACGAGATTCCTCCTGTGTTATTCGCTGTTTGAAACACTGAGCGTCGGCGAAGTGCACATCGATGAGGTCGTCGATGTAGCCATTCTGATGGTAATCCATAATCTTCCTAGACAGCGCCACCTAGTGAGAATTACAAAGTTATATGTGTTGACAACCTGTGTGTGTAGAAATGGCAATTATAGAATGACATTAACACAAAGAGTCCGCCATTTTGTCCACAGGATCCCCACTTCTATGTTGCCATATGCATCAGTTACAAACATCCATGCTGACTCAAAGAGTTACGGACAGAAAGTAAGGTCTGTGGTCTAAGACGTCCCAACTCGTTATACGGAGTTGTGTCCCTTAGTTAAGTTGTGATCCGCTGACACGGGTTAGACCAGATAATAACTTCTGGTCTGATTTAATCAAATAGTGTTCGCGTGATTACAATGGCTCCTAAGCATGGTGCATCAACTAGTTTGTTTTATCCAGGGCAAGATTTTGCTTCCGTGGTGTCCTTGGTTTTCTTTGAACTGCTTCAATAGTGACCAATATTGTTAATGAAAAACTTCAACAACTTTATACCTGAATTTAGTTTACAGTACGTGGTATTTGTACTAAACCTACTTACCCCCGGGTGTCACCCCGCCGGGATATTGCTGGAATATTGCTAAAAGCGGCGTGAACCTCACTCACTCACTTCACCCTCATCAACCTCTCGTCAACCTCTGCAGCCTCTACCGACACCCGATTCTATCATATTACTACAGGCCCTCGAACATCCGGGGTAGAATATGTCTTCAGCAACCCATGCTTGCCGTAAAAGGCGAATATGCTTGTCATAAGAGGTGACTAACAGGATCGGGTGGTCAGGCTCACTGACTTGGTTGATGCATGTCATCGTATGCCAATTGCGTGGATCGATGCTCAGGATATCAATCACTGGATTGTCTGATCCAGATTCGATTATTTAAAGATCGCCGTCATATAGCTGGAGTATTGCTGAGTGCGGCGTTAAACAACAAACAAACAAACAAACAAACAAAACCTACCTTTAGCGGAGAACCCTTTGGAAGCCCTATTCCATATCGATCATCTCCGAAGATTTGAGATAGGAGCTTCAACTCACAGTTAGGGGCCAAATGAGCCCTTGCATAGTCAAGTATTGGGTAGTCCCCTAAATAGGCGTCCAGTTTTCCCTCCCTGAAAACAAAAACCTTATTGTATTCTGTCCTAAAAGGGTCGTCTTAGGCGCCGCGATTCACTGTGCAGAGTTGCGTCCCTTGGGCATGCCAGAAACCTACGATTGTGGGTTCGAATCCCGGTTCGACCCGATTATGTTTCTAGGTTTGTCAGCACCATACCCGTGCTCGCGGGTTTCACCGAAGTGGTAAACGTCTGAGACCTGCATCACTTCGGGCTTTCATCCCACATTAAGCTGACACGCCGCGATATAACTGGAAGACTGTTAAAAGCTGCGTTTAACCCAACTCACTCACTCTGTCCTAAAATGAAAACATATATATTCACTACCAAAAGAAACTGTGGTCAAGCGCGCTGACTTGGTTAATGCATATCATCGTATCCCAATGGTGTGGATCCACACTCATGACAGCAATTACTGGATTGTCTGGTCCAGACTCGATTCTTTACAAATCACCGTTACATAGCAGGAATATTGCTGAGTGCGGCAACAAACAAACAAACAAACAAACAAACAAACAAAGCATGTACTTACAGCACCTCCTCAATCCCCCGGTCAGTCTTGGACACCGGGTAGTTACTGGAGACCTCAACTAGCTTGCTCTGGATCTTCTTGAGGAATTCTTCCACAGCACTGCCCCGTAACACTCCCACCCGTATAGACTGCAACTGTAAGAAGACAGCACATACATCAGGGTATACCACTCCCACCCGTATAGACTGCAACTGTAAGAAGACAGCACATACATCAGGGTATACCACTCCCACCCGTATAGACTGCAACTGTAAGAAGACAGCACATACATCAGGGTATACCACTCCCACCCGTATAGACTGCAACTGTAAGAAGACAGCACATACATCAGGGTATACCACTCCCACCCGTATAGACTGCAACTGTAAGAAGACAGCATATACATCAGGGTATACCACTCCCACCCGTATAGACTGCAACTGTAAGAAGACAGCACATACATCAGGGTATACCACTCCCACCCGTATAGACTGCAACTGTAAGAAGACAGCACATACATCAGGGTATACCACTTCCACCCGTATAGACTGCAACTGTAAGAAGACAGCACATACATCAGGGTATACCACTTCCACCCGACAAAACCCTCCCGTTTTCACTGCAGATGTAAGGAGACTTGATATACATCATGCTACCCACAAGCAAAACACCCAATGCTGTGAAGTGATACACGCCGGTGATACACAGGGTGTTGGCTTGACGAGTCCATTGTTAGGACATCTGTTGTGTGACACCCCAAGGGACAACGAACACACTCACAATAGTTTTTGTCGTTTTCTTGTGGCTACAAGTTGCACTCTATAGAAACAAGGGCAATGCTCCACAAATCCAGCACCAATGGTAAGTATACGGAGAGGTTATGTGTGAAGCACTAAGTTAGCAACGAACACCAAATCATTGAAAGTACAGTGCACTTTTACTCATTTGGGTTTCCAATAATAACTTTTACAGGCTTCAATTATCCCCGTAATTGATTAAGATGTTCATGCCGTCAACTTAGGAATGATACCTTAGCATCAGCATCTTACTGACTGACCCATTGTTGATGACATACAAAAGGCGACCCGCTATAGATGACATATTCAGACTATGACTCACTATTGATGACACATTCAGACTATGACCAGCAAAAGATGACATATTCAGACTATGACCCGCTACAGATGACATATTCAGACTATGACTTACTATTGATGACACATTCAGACTATGACCAGCAAAAGATGACATATTCAGACTATGACCCGCTACAGATGACATATTCAGACTATGACTCACTATTGATGACACATTCTGACTATGACCAGCAAAAGATGACATATTCAGACTATGACCCGCTACAGATGACATATTCAGACTATGACTCACTATTGATGACACATTCAGACTATGACCAGCAAAAGATGACATATTCAGACTATGACCCGCTATAGATGACATATTCAGACTATGACCCGCTACAAATGATATATTCAGACTATGACCCGCTCATAACACATTCAGACTATGCCCCACTCATGACATATTCAGACTATGACCCGCTCATGACATATTCAGACTATGACCTGCTCATGACATATTCAGGCTATGACCCGCTTTAGATGATATATTCAGGCTATGACCCGCTACAGATGACACATTCCGACTATGACTCACTGTTGATGACACATTCAGACTATGACCCGCTCATGACATATTCAGACTATGACCCGCTTTAGATGACACATTCAGACTATGACCTGTTCATGACATATTCAGGCTATGACCCGCTATAGATGACATATTCAGACTATGACCAGCTATAGATGACATATTCAGACTATGACCTGTTCATGACATATTCAGACTATGACCCGCTCATGATATGTTCAGACTATGACCCGTTCATGACATGTTCAGGCCATGACCCGCTATAGATGGCATATTCAGACTATGACCCGCTCATGACATGTTCAGGCTATGACCCGCTATAGATGACATATTCAGACTATGACCCGCTCGTGAAATATTCAGACTATGTCCCGCTATATTTAGACAGTAACTAATTACTGTATATGGGTGTTAATCGATACATATATATATACAACATCGATGATTTTGTACTGGTGAAACATTCATCGCTCGCTGCAACCCTTCCCATCGCGTAACGAGCTTCCCCCTCTGTACCCGCCCTATTGACAGTACCAGTCCCTACAGGGGAGGAGAGCCAGACATCGCTGCAACCCTTCCCCTCGCGTGACGAGCTCCGCCCTCTGTCCCCGCCCTACTGACAGTACCAGTCCCTACAGGGGAGGAGAGCCAGACATCGCTGCAACCCTTCCCATCGCGTGACGAGCTTCCCCCTCTGTCCCCGCCCTACTGACAGTACCAGTCCCTACAGGGGAGGAGAGCCAGACATCGCTGCAACCCTTCCCATCGCGTGACGAGCTTCCCCCTCTGTACCCGCCCTACTGACAGTACCAGTCCCTACAGGGGAGGAGAGCCAGACATCGCTGCAACCCTTCCCATCGCGTGACGAGCTTCCCCCTCTGTCCCCGCCCTACTGACAGTACCAGTCCCTACAGGGGAGGAGAGCCAGACATCGCTGCAACCCTTCCCATCGCGTGACGAGCTTCCCCCTCTGTACCCGCCCTACTGACAGTACCAGTCCCTACAGGGGAGGAGAGCCAGACATCGCTGCAACCCTTCCCATCGCGTGACGAGCTTCCCCCTCTGTACCCGCCCTACTGACAGTACCAGTCCCTACAGGGGAGGAGAGGCAGACATCGCTGCAACCCTTCCCATCGCGTGACGAGCTTCCCCCTCTGTCCCCGCCCTACTGACAGTACCAGTCCCTACAGGGGAGGAGAGCCAGACATCGCTGCAACCCTTCCCATCGCGTGACGAGCTTCCCCCTCTGTACCCGCCCTACTGACAGTACCAGTCCCTACAGGGGAGGAGAGCCAGACATCGCTGCAACCCTTCCCATCGCGTGACGAGCTTCCCCCTCTTTCCCCGCCCTACTGACAGTACCAGTCCCTACAGGGGAGGAGAGCCAGACATCGCTGCAACCCTTCCCATCGCGTGACGAGCTTCCCCCTCTGTACCCGCCCTACTGACAGTACCAGTCCCTACAGGGGAGGAGAGCCAGACATCGCTGCAACCCTTCCCATCGCGTGACGAGCTCCGCCCTCTGTCCCCGCCCTACTGACAGTACCAGTCCCTACAGGGGAGGAGAGCCAGACATCGCTGCAACCCTTCCCATCGCGTGACGAGCTTCCCCCTCTGTACCCGCCCTACTGACAGTACCAGTCCCTACAGGGGAGGAGAGCCAGACATCGCTGCAACCCTTCCCATCGCGTGACGAGCTCCGCCCTCTGTACCCGCCCTACTGACAGTACCAGTCCCTACAGGGGAGGAGAGCCAGACATCGCTGCAACCCTTCCCATCGCGTGACGAGCTTCCCCCTCTGTACCCGCCCTACTGACAGTACCAGTCCCTACAGGGGAGGAGAGCCAGACATCGCTGCAACCCTTCCCATCGCGTGACGAGCTTCCCCCTCTGTCCCCGCCCTACTGACAGTACCAGTCCCTACAGGGGAGGAGAGCCAGACATCGCTGCAAGAACACAAGGTTCTCTCGGTGCAGTATATTACAGATATTCATACATCACTTATGCTTAGAAGTAGGACATCTCGGAGGTTGCCACTTGTAGCCCCTTTGTGGAGAGCAAAATTTGTTCTAGAAATATTTCTTGTAACTTAACCACTGTTACCCGATCATTATACAAGAAATAAATTCGATGTCAATTCGCAAACACTTTTAAACTTGATTCACAGTTTTTTTTCTGAAAACATTGTACAAAAAGAGCATCCCTCTGATCAAATTGAAATAAAAAACTAAACTTTGGGTGAGGTTATTAGGTGAGGTTCTGCGCGGTTAGGAAAGGATTCGGAAGACTCAACACCTGATCAATAACAAAGTGAAAAGAAATCAAAACGTCAATTAATAAGTTTTTCGAATTCTACATTTAGCAATACAAATCAATGACGACCAGGCAGCGATAAAAAGTCGACTTGAAACACACAGTAATCTGCCAAACTTGTGTTGAGACATGAGCGGATGCTAGCTGAAACGTATCGATCTCAGACAACAGCGTATCATACGCAGCTTCCTACATGTTGGAGAAGTCTTCAAGCTTTTACAGAACTAGTCTGGCTGGTTATACTAAGTACGTAGCCTCCTACATGCATAGATCAACATGTCATCTCGTGTATGTGTAAATCTAAAGGATCTACACAATCCATTCAACATGACATCACGTGGATGTATAAATCTAAAGGATCTACACAATCCATTCAACATGACATCACGTGGATGTATAAATCTAAAGGATCTACACGATCCATTCAACATGTCATCTCTAGTATGTATAAATCTAAAGGATCTACACAATCCATTCAACATGACATCACGTGGATGTATAAATCTAAAGGATCTACACAATCCATTCAACAAGACATCACGTGGATGTATAAATCTAAAGGATCTACACGATCCATTCAACATGACATCACGTGGATGTATAAATCTAAAGGATGTCCACAATCCATTCAACATGACATCACGTGGATGTATAAATCTAAAGGATCTACACAATCCATTCAACATGACATCACGTGGATGTATAAATCTACGGGACCTGCACACAACTATCAACATGTCATCAAGTGGATGTATAAATCTAAATGATCTACAGAATCCATTCAACATGACATCAGGTGGATGTATATATCTAAAGGATGTCCACAATCAATTCAACAAGACATCACGTGGATGTATAAATCTAAATGATCTACAGAATCCATTCAACATGACATCACGTGGATGAATAAATCTAAAGGATCTACAGAATCCATTCAACAAGACATCACGTGAATGTATAAATCTAAAGGATCTACACAATCCATTCAACATGACATCACGTGTATGTATAAATCTAAAGGATCTACACAATCCATTCAACATGACATCAGGTGGATGTATATATCTAAAGGATGTCCACAATCCATTCAACATGACATCACGTGTATGTATAAATCTAAAGGATCTCCACAATCCATTCAACAAGACATCACGTGGATGTAAAAATCTCA